TTCGCATTTTCGTTGGCAAGGATCTACTGATCAGAGGTTATTTGAGCTAATTTGTACGGAAACATGTATGTTGCTGCGAAAATCGAGAAATCTCAAAAATCGCCATAGAAATTCGAAACATGCAAACGCTCGAAATATATTCAATGACAATTGACACCTTGCTCTTTCTTCATCGCTGCTATCGGATTCTGCAGCGCTTCAACCAAATCTGAAAACGATCATCGAGTCAATAAACAGTAATATATCGATGGAAATGATTAAGTCTGAAGAGAAAATTCGAAAACTTTTGGCTAAAACTGAAAGCGAAGCAAAGAAAGAGCTGACTTTTGCTCTTCTCATCCACGTAATCGTGCACACGAAAAAGCACGAAAAGCGTGACCGGTCCGATGCAGCGATTCGACGCATTCCTGAGCAGTACGTGACGAAAGCCAGGTTGAATGGACCGCACCTGAAGTGTAACCTTTCCAATAGAACAACGTATAACCTATGACAAATTACTATTAATGTTATTATTATTGTCAACAAATTTACACTACTATTATTACAACTGTTTTATAACTAAGAGCATCACCATAACAAGAATACTCATCATGAAAAGATCACAATCAAGAACATTCCTTCCTTACTTGCAAGAAACGCTGTCCAATCAGTCGACCACCGTCTTCGAAGACTGCCAATCGAATCGATGCCATTGCCGGGAATATAATCTTAAAATGTAGATTTTCTCATCGAAACTTTTATCATGGCCAGTTGGAGTTTCAAGCAACACATGCATTCTATGTACACGCAAGATAATATTGTTCATGTAGACAGGTGACGTAGAACACAACAATGGTATGACATTATGATGCGATAGGTACAATAGCAAACCTGCCGAACATAAGCTAACTGACATTCAATTCACAAATACGCATTCCTAGGTTTCTAAAATATAGAAATGTTTTTTGCAGTCAGTCACCTTCTCGTATTTGAATTCTTCTTGATTGAAGTTGTTCGTGTAGATGACGTTCAGACCACTATCTGAGACGGTTTTCGTTCGGTATTTCCGTTTCGAAAATACCGACAGATCTCGAAAATGTCCATAAAAATTCACTTCAGCATACGTGGACGGGCGTTTATCGCAGACCATTGACAACATTTGCGCTGAGATCACCTGTATTCAATAGAAGCCAGAATCGAAATCAAGTTGAATGACCGAAACGGATCGAATTTGATCGATCAGACAGATCGAAACTGATCAGACGTGATCGATCGGTCAAAAGTGCAATATTTCGCCCGAATCTTACTTAATTTGAATAATTTGCCGTTTGGCAGGAATTCCAGCAATTCACTCGCTCACGCATTTTCTATGACATC